TTGTAACTTCATTGCACCAGTAACTTTTTTTTTTTTTCAGGAAAAATAACTGGCTACGGTGTGTGGCTGTGCACGACGAAGGACGGCGTCTTGCTCTGTGTCAGAATAACAACTACATCCGGGTCTATAATATCGGTCCAAGTCAAAAAACGCCGTTAACATTGAAGCATCCTTTGCAGAACAACGTTGCGTGTATGGCTTGGGAGTAAGTTATTTCGCTACCTACAAATTTTCTTGTGTTTGCGTGCTGACCACTTCCCGCGAAGGTGTACTGAAATGGAGAAAGGAAGGGTGACGATGGAAGGGGAGAACTTGCTCAACAAAGTATCTTTCTTTCAAAAATTTGTTCCACAGCTCTAATCTTTCTAGAGGATCATGTGGGAACATTTCTGAAGAAATAGTAATCCTACAGTGTGTCGAAGTATTGAAGTATCCGTCTCGCTAACTCACCTCACGTTTGAGAATTTCTACAGCGGGGATATCAAATAGGCACATTTGGTACTCCGCCCCCTCCTCCATTCGGGGGAAAGGGCAAGGGTACAGTTTCGCTCGCGCAAAAGGGGAACAGGGTGCATTTTACTTTTTAAATTTAACAGACGAAGAAAGTGGTTTTCCTGTTTTTGAATACGTTGTGCGCTCTGCAGTGAAATCTATTCTCTCCTCTCCCACCGTTCGAATAAATCCTCCATTGTTGAGTTGTTGCAATATAGTCATCGCTCTTTGTGCTCACTATTACTTCTCAACTTCTCAGACCATTCGACCAACGCGTGCTTGCTGTTGCTGCAAACAACAAAATTCTTATCTGGAGGCTTAGTGTGAAGGCCACAAACATCAAGTAAGTGCTTTTGCATTTGGGGAAAGTTACAGCAGTGAATGTATATAAGAACAGAGAACAGAAAGGTTTGTTGGGCAGAGCCCCAATCGTCTGACTCTTTTGGCCTAATTACCGTTATATTTTCGTTGGATAAACGAAAATTCAAGATAAAATTTTTCAAAACATCGCGAACAAGCTGGCAGTTTTGGCAGAGGAGGAATTGCTAACGCTTTTATTTAGTTCTGTTTTTGTGTCCATCATCCGTATATTACCACATATTTTTTAAATGCTTCCTGCAGTTTTATCTTGATGTCTTTATTAGGCCATCCGTCCGTTGCGCTCAAGTAATTGAGCTACCAGCCGCGCCTATTAGTCAAATTGTCTGGGATCGTACAACAACGAATGTTTTGCTGGCCGTGTCACCCAATAGCAACAAAATAATGGTAAGCAAACATGGTATCAGTGCTACTTTTTGTGCGGTTTCGGTGAACTCTATTGACCGTTGTCCTAGATCGTTGACATTTCTACTGGTGAGGTGGATTGCTTTGGTGCATGGACTGGTGGTAATGTCACAAGAATCGTACCACACAGATGAACTGGTCGGCGGCTGGCTGTTCTTATCATATTGAATCTTCTTATCTTTTCATGTCAGACAGCACCCAGGTTAAAACTACCAACTCTAGAGTTTACGACCGTAGCACGTGGCGTGAGGAGCGGTGGAGTGGCCTGGCAGGTCGAGCAGTTAGCGCTGTCTGGTCGCCATCAGGAGATTCCTTAGTGTTCTCCTCAGAGGACAGCTATCAGATCTATGCGATTTCATTTGTGGCAAAGAATGAAATTAATGAAGACGGAATCTCTGAAGCGTAGGTTTTATTAAGCTGCTTCCGCATTCTAGGTGCAATTTTTGTATTTTGTCTCACAAGCTGTTCATTGTAATTACTGGTGTAATTCATCTTTGTGGTGAGTTCAACATGAAAAGCTGTTATGCTCTAACTTTTCGCTTTCCGCCAAGCTTTTGTAGTCACAAAACTCCTGCATGGAACATGAACGGATATCAGTGGTTGAACCCCATTTCTTCCCACATTGTCTATGCACTTGCCACTGCATTTGGGAGAAATTGCTTTGACAAAGTGCTTCGCATGCTGAGTGTCTTTCTTGGACTGGGTAACATCTGAATGTAATTTTCTATTAGTCTTGAGCGTCTACCGGTTTTTTGTCGTAAAGTAATATTTGGGTTTTTGCTACTGGGGAATGTGCTGATATAGAATGAAAGCTATCAAAGGAACATCTAATCCACTGGCATAGAAAGGCGCAAAAACGCTAGAAAAAAAACAGCTCTATGTCTTTACTAGTGTTCTTTACAGTTTTGTTCATAATTTCGAATCTCATTCGTACAGCATAGCACTTTGTTAATTTACTTTGTTTTGCTAATGAGTTTTTATGAGTAGGTGATTCATTAGAGACATTCAAGAGGCCATCATGTTTGATGAATTAGCTTGCTCTATTTAGACGGTGGACTGGTGACACTTGTGCCGTTCCAATATTCGATGTGTCACCGGTGGAGTTTGACCCGTCAGAGCTTGAGGTAGATGGAGCTGTCGAAAGGTATTTCTTGACTTTTTTCTCACGAACCTTATCTTTCATATGGCGTTGTGTTTTTTCTCTCACTGCCGCGGTTCCGACGGCATTCTCTACTAATTTCTTTTTGTCCTTACTTTGTTCTTTCGTGTAGATCTACTTTTAGAGAAATTGTTACAATTGGTGGAAAGATTCATAATTTGACGTTGAGCCCTGATGGACAAAGATTGGCAGTCAGTTTCAAAGGTATTTTTTATTTGATAGATTATTGTCTTCTCATCGTAACCATGGGACGTATTTTATTTTTTTCTTCTGACTCAAACCACCTGAGCTGCAAGCGCCGGCATCCAGTAGCGCCAAAACACATTGGATCAACCAGTTAAAGTGGTTTGTATGTCTTGTAAAATACGAACATAACAGTGGCTGCTAACGTGCATAAAACTCGCGACACAGTCATCTACGCCAACAAGTGATGATGCTAGCGTCTGTGACGTGGCCACCAAAAGCTCTCTTTAGATGGACATGATATTCGAGTTCTACGGCTCGGACGACCCCTACACGACAAGAGGATTTGGGGGATGTAAAGTTTGAATACAGCGTCGGAAATTTCATAATAATCTGGTATAATGGATAATGGTAATAGTTAGCTGGTATAATGGTTGCAATCTTCATTTTAAATTTACATTACTAGGTTTTCCCACATTCTCTCGTTTTAATTGTGTTTCTCCATTCTTCTCGTTTTAATTGTGTTATGTTTGTAACAGATTTTTGATTATAGAAAATCGCTGTGTTTTTTTTTATGGCTTTTTTGTTCATTGTTGGGTACTGGGTTACCACTGTAAGATTTTATCAAGGTGAGAGTACAGTTTCGGTTTTTCGGTTGATGAAGGATATGTGCTCAATTCATCTGTAGCTGAATAATTAAGCGTTGTTTCAGACGGTCTGGGGGTGGAAGCCCTATAGGGACATCCGTCCTATACTATTTTAGCCTGCCAAAGATCAGCCAACGGGTCCTTGCTCGACCAATTGTGAGTTTCGTAGGTTAAGTGTTGTTTTGTAGACCATTTTGGCATAAACACATTGCGTTGCAGTATGCGGTCTGCCGGAAGCTGCAGTAAATGTACACTATGCTCCTTAATTAATTTTTATTATATATTTCCTAGCTCTTTTATTAGTGTGGTAAACATCACATTTTCAATCTCGAGGAGTCTATCGTTGTACGAAATAAGTGGTCTTCAAGATCAGGTTAGATCTTGCTTTGTTGAACTGTTGCAAGACACGATTTTCAATGGTTTTCTCGAATTCGCGAAGAATAGTTCGAGTGTGGAACAGATAGTTTTTCTTTCACTTCGTGTCGTCCTCAATCACTACACTCAGTAGCATGCTTCACTCATTTACAGTTGAATGCCGCTTACGACTTCAATCTCGTTTTTAGGGGCATAGGACCACTAGTGACTCATTGCGTTCGTCTGAATTGCCGAGTGGGTGCAGGGATCGTTCACCAAATGAAGAGATCGTTTTGTTTTCGGAACGGTTCCGAACAAGTAAGATCTACTGAGTCGCAGCGAAATTGAAATGCATTACAATTTGATATGATCTTGCAGCATTTACCAAGGCGGTTGTTAGATCTGGAACTTGTTGTAAAATTCTTAACATATGTTGCTCTTGGAAGAGTGCCATCGGTATGGTTCGGATTCTCACTCCTAGGGTATTCAGAATCAAAGTCGACTGTGTTATTTTCGTGTATGATTGATCATGTTCTTTCATTTTTGCTGCTCGTTCTATTTTCGTAATTTGTTTTCCTTGTAGAGATCTCAATTTTGCATTATTCCGCGGTGATAGCCTTTCATGTCAAGCGTATTCTTCTTGAATTCACTTTCAAAGTTCACACTGAATGAATTATTATTTCTTTGTATTATGTTATTCCCGTACTTGTACATCGGCTGGCCCCCGCAAGTCATTGTATAGGCCACATCGCATTCAAACGCCACTACGAATGTACAAATGGAAGTAGAATGCGTGCCGCATCCCAAAAAGGGATTGATCAACGGCAAATGCTTTATCTTTAATCCTTCTACATTCCTGACTGGAGCAATTTCTCGTGGGTAGTACAAGGGTACCCGACAGGAGGCCCGTGGCCCGGTGTGAAGGACGAGACGCAGACGGGCCAGCGGACGAGTGGCAGCACGTGGGGCGTACTATAGTACTGGGTTCTGTTTCATCTGGCACCAATTCACTACACTATGCGCTGCGAATCGTTCGCTGACGCGTCTGTGTCTCTGTTTTCTCGCCGCGCGACGGATCTCCTGCAGTATAGCCTAGCCTGGCGCGTTTCGCGTACAGCTTGGTCGGTTACCCGTAGCACACATATGTCTACGAAGACCACGAAACTGCTGTTCGCACGTCTTGGAACTGAGCTCAGTGCCTTTTCTCGATTACTGGTCCTGACTGCATCTCCTTTTGTCAGAATGTTTGTCTCACTTCATCACAAATACCCCCCCCCATCCCTTCTGCACCAGGCCTGCAACTTTTCTTCAACAAATGGACGATCCTCCAAAAGTCCAAACACACAGTTAATCACTTCATAAGTTTTTCTGGTAAAAATTTGGTTAAATTTTCTGGTAAAAAAAATTCCTAAGAGAGAAATGATATGAGAGCGGGGTGAATAACGGTCGAGGAAATCCTCGACCATGGCTCTGTACTGTGCGAGAGTAGTGCCGAGAGTGAATGTACGCGCGGAGAGCACAGACGGCTCGCGCATGGCGAGTGTGAATGTCCGCGCGCGAGAGCGTGATTAGGCTCTCGCGCTTAGAATTCACTGTCCGCTCCTCGCTCGCTCCGACATTAGAGAAAATCCTCGACGAGCGTCCACAAATTCTAGACCGATTTTCGTCCTGTGTGGCGAGTTCGACTAGTAGTTAGTCCTAGTTTACCTTTGATTCTATCATGCTGATTTCTTTTTTCTTTTTGTTGAGAAGAATAGATGTGAAAGGATGGAGGTATGAGTGGATGATTTATATATCGCGATGCTATCGAGGTATTCTAAGCCCTTGCTGCTGGAGTAATGTATGGACTGCAGTCCTTACTGTTTTCGTTCGTTCGAATAAATGGACACGCCTATAAGGATTCACTCTGATTAAATATGGAGTGAAAAAATAGATTAAAATTGATTACCTCGTCAGGACAAGCCAGTGGTAACGATGGTACACTGGCAGAACCTAAAGTGGTTTTTGCTCCTACAGGTTCCATGATGTTCTTCCACAACCACGTCGACACCAAAGCATGACCCCATTGGGAGAAATGGAAACAGTCAGGTGCGAAGAACTCTCTATTAATCTCTCCATCCTGTAAAAGGGTATGATTGCACAACAAGCCTGTGTATAAATCTACCAAATGGTCTGCAACTATATCCTCACACCTAGTTCCCACATTTTTAAGGCACTAGATGCTGAAATTATTCCTTGAAGGCATGCCCTAGGGTCAAAATATGGCTCTTGCAAACGAATGCAAACTTATTGATGCGAAATGGGCCAGCGGGAGAGAAAAAATGGAAAGAATTAGTTGAAAACGCTTAGGTCAAGACTTACTCATACCGCAGTAGGGGCGCTCATGTCCTTTGGGGGGGGGGACATCCAAGTGAGTGAGCCAATTACTGTGCTTGGGACTAAGCCTCAGGCAGGGGAAGGGATTCTGTGGGAGTATGCGTGTGCTCCATGCCGTTTCTCCCCTCTTGGGCTTAGTCCTAATGCCACCTTCAA